ACATCACCTCCTACCTGATCCTTTTAACTGGAGATGCCAGGAATTGAACCTCTGACCATCTGCATGCCAAGCAGATGCTCTGCCAGTGAGCCACAGCATCATAATATTCTCTATGAACTTTAGTTCACCCTCTGTTGCACCAAGAGGTTACTATCACTAAGCATTAGCAGGGCTTGCCCATATAAGTGGGCAGACAAAAAACAAGAGGTCTTGGTTCACAAAGACAGTAAGAGTGATTAACACATGGAATTCACTGCCACAGGAAGTGGTGGCGGCTACAAGCATGGACGGCTTCAAAAGGGAATTAGATAAGCATATGGAGCAGAGGTCCATCAGTGGCTATTACCCACAAGGTATAGATAGGGGCTCTGGGGCAAGTGATGCTCTGTCTTCTTGGTGCTTGGGGGGGTGTCAACAGTGGGAGAGCTTCTAATGTCCTGGCCCCACTGGTGGACCTCCTGATGGCACTGGTATTTCTGGCCACTGTATGACACAGTGTTAGACTGGACGGGCCTTTGGCCTGATCCAACATTGACGTCTCTTATGTTCTTATGTTCTTATAAGCAGACCTCCATCTAGATAATCTGGCATGTTTAGAAGCTGCGATGTGATTTAAATATTACAGCAAATGATTAGCAGCAAGTCTGGTCTTTAAGGACTGTAGCAAAAGTCCCCAGACTATGATGTCTTTCTAAAACATCCCTTTTGTAAGGAAAAACTCTACAAGTACTTTACTTCTAATGACTATAACCGGCTTGTCAGTTACAGTGGTACACTAGGAGGTTAATGCAGTTTCTTGCAACAAATACTTTAAAATCCTTTTTCAAAGCTTTTCACTCTTTGATTCTGGAGTACCCAGTATGATGAACATGTAATGTGTTAGTTGGACATTAATATGCAAGTATTTCTGCCCTTCTTTAATAAGAAGAATTCAACAGTGTTGCACAGTTCTCTCATTCCTATAGCTATCTGCCTTTGTATAAGCATTCCGTAAATGTTCATCCCACTAATGACAATTGCAGATAATTAACTTGTGATATCTTACAATGTTAGAAATCACTTTGAATATATACTTTGATTTTTATTATATGCCTTATAATGTCAATCATTATAAAAATTTAAACATAATACAACACATACTTCTGCTACTACTTAAAATGGAATAATTTATAAACTAGACTAAACAGGATGTTTCAATTGTTTCCAAGTTAATCAGCCTACACTTAAGATCAGCACAGAATTTCATGAACACTAAACTGATTCATCTGAAGATGTTTAAGACTAATCTTTTCTTAATTCACTTCAACTGCACCACCATAATTTCTTGTCTAAGCTTTGAATGTCAGTTAATATGGTTAAGACTTTCAATAGACCGACTGTTAAAACCAATATACTATAGTCTTATTTAGTAGTTTACTTAGATAAACTGGTCATAAGAACATAAGAACATAAGAGACGCCAATGTTGGATCAGGCCAAAGGCCCATCCAGTCCAACACTCTGTGTCACACAGTGGCCAGAAATACCAGTGCCATCAGGAGGTCCAGCAGTGGGGCCAGGACATTAGAAGCCCTCCCACTGTTGACCCCCCCCCAAGCACCAAGAAGACAGAGCATCACTTGCCCCAGAGCCCCTAGCTATACCTTGTGGCTAATAGCCACTGATGGACCTCTGCTCCATATGCTTATCTAATTCCCTTTTGAAGCCGTCCATGCTTGTAGCACCCACCACTTCCTGTGGCAGTGAATTCCATGTGTTAATCACTCTTTGGGTGAAGAAGTATTTCCTTTTATCCGTTCTAACCCGACCGCTCTGCAGTTTCATGGAGTGCCCACGAGTTCTTGTATTGTGAGAAAGGGAGAAAAGTACCTCTTTCTTTACCTGCTCTTTCCCATGCATAATCTTATAAACCTCGATCATGTCACCCCTCAGTCGTCTTTTCTCCAAGCTAAAGAGCCCTAAGCGCTTTAACCTTTCCTCATAGGGAAAGTGTTCCAACCCTTTTATCATTCGAGTTGCCCTTTTCTGCACTTTTTCCAAAGCTATAATATCCTTTTTAAGGTGTGGTGCCCAGAACTGCACACAGTATTCCAAATGAGGTCTCACCATTGATTTATATAGGGGCATTATTATATTGGCTGATCTGTTTTCAATACCCTTCCTAATAATCCCCAGCATAGCATTGGCCTTCTTTATTGCAGTCACACACTGTCTCGACATTTTCAGTGAGTTATCCACTACAACTCCAAGATCTCTCTCTTGCTCAGTCTCTGCCAGTTCAGACCCCATCAATGTGTATTTATATTTAGGATTTTTGGCTCCAATGTGCATCACCTTGCACTTGGCCACATTGAACCCCATTTGCCATGTTGACGCCCACTCGCCCATCCTTGACAGATCCCCTTGGAGTGCCTCACAATCCTCACTGGTTTTCACCACCCTGAACAACTTTGTATCATCCGCAAATTTAGCCACTTCACTGCTTACTCCCATCTCCAAATCATTAATGAACAAGTTAAAAAGCAGTGGACCAAGTACTGATCCCTGCGGTACCCCACTGCTTACCACCCTCCACTGAGAAAATTGCCCACCTACACTCACTCTCTGTTTTCTATGAACTAGCCAGTTTTTGATCCATAAAAGGACTTGTCCTTCTATCCCATGATTTTTGAGCTTACTTAGGAGCCTTTGATGAGGAACTTTATCAAAAGCTTTCTGGAAGTCAAGGTAAATAATATCTATTGGATCCCCCTTGTCCACATGTTTGTTCACCCCCTCAAAGAACACTAACAGGTTAGTGAGACAAGATCTTCCCTTACAGAAACCGTGCTGAGTCTGCCTCAATAGGTTTTGTTCATCTATGTGCCTACTAATTCTTTCCTTAATAATGGTTTCCACCAATTTACCCGGTATCGACGTCAGACTGACTGGCCTGTAATTTCCCGGATCTCCTCTGGAACCCTTTTTAAAGATGGGAGTGACATTAGCTACCTTCCAATCCTCAGGAATGGAGGCAGATTTTAAGGAAAGATTACATATCTTTGTCAGGAGATCTACAAGTTCACATTTGAGTTCTTTCAGAACTCTCGGATGTATGCCATCTGGGCCTGGTGATTTTTCAGTTTTTAAGTTGTCAATGAAAAAAACCTTCTACTTAAATATTTTGTCAATGAAAAAAACCTTCTACTTAAATATTTCATTGCTAACCATACTGTAATACTGCATTACCAAAACGCCAAACTAGTTCCATCAGCCTAAGGCAGCTTTGAACTTGTCTTCTCTCAAGCAGCAGCTACCTACTAAAAGTTTTTTAAAAATATATACTGGGATAGAGCATGCCTTCTACTTAAACTGAAGCAGTCCTTCCAATCACAGTCAATATTTATATCGTAATATACTAACTTTTATTTCTTCTAGTGAAGACTTTAGCAACAATTGACTAACTTGTTGCATGTAATAGAACATTCACAAACATCCTAACTACTGAATAAATGACAGCATCAACAATATTCACAAACATTCAGCTTTGATAAGGGAAGTGAAAAGGCAGTTTGCTCAAAATTTAAAAAATGTATATAAACCCAAAAGATTGAGTTGAGGTCCAGAAAGCCATCCCAGGAGATAGAAAAGCAAACAGAAAAACAGACAACTAGGGATGGGCATGGACCGGCTGATGAACTAAAGTTTGTCATGAATTTTGGCTCAGAGGTTAAAGACACTGAGCTGCAGACCGGAAGGTGAGTAGCTCAGCAGTTCGAGACCCTAGTGCTGCGTGACGGAGTGAGCTCCTGTCTCTGGCCCCAGCTCCTGCCAACCTAGCAGTTTGAAAGCAAGAAATTGCAAGTAGATAAATAGGTACCACTTCAGTGGGAAGGTAACAGTGTTGGTGCGCCTCGGCATTTAGTCATGCTGGCCACATGACCACAGAGAAGTCTTCGGACAGCGCTGGCTCTTTGGATTGGAAACGGACATGAGCAACACCCCCTAGAGTCAAATTCAACTGGCTTTCGAGCAAGGGAAACTGAAGTTACCTAAACTGAAGTTACATGAACTGAAGAACCATGACTAACTTCCATGGCCAGCAGACAGGAGAAGGTGAAGTGCCTCCTGGGAGGCATTTTACTCCTTCCTTTTTGCTGATCAGAGAAAGCCACAGCCAGCAGAAAGGAGGGGGTGTAATGTCCCCTGGGAGGCACTTCATCTCCATATTTAACTCTCTGGAAAGCAGAAGGGAGCAAAACCAGAGAGTTAAATGGGGTCCACTGCTCAGCTGTTAGGTTTAAATGGCTCTGAGCCATTTAAATCCCTGCTTTCTGCCCCCCGCCACTTTCTTGGGGAGCAGAAAGCAGAGGTTTAAACTTTAAATGGCTCACAAACCTAAATGAACAGGTTCAGTTCAGGAAACAGCACATTGGTTTGCAGTTTGTGACCATCCCTACAGACAATACACACTATACAGTCAGCTTCAGAACAGGTATCTGAAGGAAGAGCAAGTAGAGGAGACAGAGTGAATTTCACGTTGCTTTGTACTAGCGAGCCAGTTTAGGTCAGCCCTAGTTAGTACTTAGGAGAATACTAAGGAAGTCCAAGATTGCTACACAGAAGCAGGCAATACCAATCCACTTCTGTTAGTCTCTTGTCTTAAGCCCTACCAGGTTGCCATAAGTCAGCTGTGACTTAATGGCACTTTCCACCAACAACCAGTTTAGTTTTAACTGTGGTTTTATTAAGCACAAGTATGACCTGGACAGCCCAGGATAGCCTGATCTCATCAGATCTTGAAAGCTAAGCAGATTCTGCCCTGGTCAGTATTTGGATGGGAGACTACCAAGGAATCCCAGGTTTGCTACTCAGAGGCAGGCAATGACAAACCACCTTTGAATGTCTCTTGCCTTGAAAACCCTATGGGGTTGCCATAAGTTGGCTGTGACTTGACAGCAAAAAATTCCTTAAAGGGTCATGCAGATTCACCACTCATACAACCAACTATTAAATACCTACCTTTAGACACAGCTTCCTTGTACTTCTCTTTAGCAGAATTTACTTCTTTAACTAATTGTCTATAACTTGATTTTAATTTTTCCAATTCTGTTTTCGTTACCTATCATGACAAAAAACAGAAAAAAGGCATTAAATCATTCTGATTTAATAAAAAGACACTCAACTGACAAATGCAGCACTAATGCAGAAGCTCTCCACAACTGTGCTGAACCATACAGTAATTGTCATGCAAATGTTACAGATCCTTTTGTGACATGTTACTAAGAAAAATAATTTGTCAGCCTCTGCAGTATAATGTTTTAAGTGATCCTTGTGTAATCTGTTTAAGGCAAAATAAAGGATCACATGAATGCTATTTTAACATGTTTAATCCAAACATATAGCAAAAAGGGCATCTCTGGTAAAGTTAAGAATGCGTTCATAAGGTAGGCAAAGAAATCCTCACATTATGCATACTACGTATGAAGAAGAGCTCCTCCAGAGAAAACTGAACACAAAAAAGTTGGTGCCTAGCACTGACTTCTGTCCCTTCTCACGTCAAATAGCCTAGTGTTATTGAATTACCCGACATGACTGGTTATTTGTTAACTACCCATCTGCCATCTTAGCACTATTTTCAACTACCGTTCATGGTTTAACCTGGAAATGAGCAACATTTCCCTATAGAAGTTTACTAATATCCAAATTCAGATAATAAGTCTTAGAACAGTTTTTATAAAAAAGGCAGTAAAAAACCTAGCTTCTCATAAAACTGATAACTAGGGCGGAAAGTCAAAGATTTTACCCACAGAACTGCTCTCTCAACTTAATTCCCTGGCTTGGACTGTTCTGGCTTTCAAGAGGGCCACCAAGAACAGGCCCCACAATCATCAATAGATTCTCCCTGCCAATACAATGATGAGAAGCTTGTAATGCCAAATATCCTTTTCAGTTAAAAACAAGGAGTAATTAAGTGAAATACCTTGAACATCTCTGCCTCTATCTGCTGGTGAACACCGATGTAACTCTTCTTTATTTGCTGCTTGTCTTTGATCATCATGGTAAGTCTATGTAACGGCCCAGCATTCAAGTCTTCCGCATGTGACTTCATGATCTTGCTAAGCTGTTCAGTTTGCTGTACAATGAGCAGCCATGACTTGAAGAAAAATGGAACCTTATTTGTTATTGGCTTAGACACAAAGTATGTGGGCACAAACTTTCACGTTTCAAAAAGCATTTATTTATTATTAGGAAACCACGAACAGAAGTCAATTCAGCATGTTGAAGAACATGTGTCTTATTACATTTATGAAGTTGAAGTACAGACGGATTATCTAACCATTCATTGTTAAGCCATTCACACATTTGTATAAGTACACTTACCAGTTCCTCAAAATACCAGTTTCACAGTAAATTAAGCTATTCTGATATTGAACTCACACAATACTTCTGACGTTCGCAATGCAAATGATCATAATTTAAGACTGCAAAAAGACATCATGAAGAACTGAATTCAGTCTACAGAACCAAAATCTTACAAAAGGAAATGGAGACATCTTACTATAAATACATGCTTTGAACAGCAAACAATGAAACTTTTGGTCTCCAGAAATTCTTTGGTTCATAAAATGATTAATCAATGTAACAGAGACACAGCTGAAAAATGGAGATTGCAAAAACTAGAATAAATAAAATCTGCAGTAAACACAATTAATGCTCCAAATAAGTTCTCTAAAGTAGCTGTACAGAAAAAGCAATGACATTATAATGAAACTATCATTCTTACGGGGGGGGGGGAGCATACAACCAACAACTCAGAAAGTACGGTAGCTAGTGAAATGCAGCAACTTCTGCAGCATGCTCACGAACCTGAATTATGTTTCTAATAGGACAAGTAAAAGTAATTTATACAATCTATTCCAACCCATTTACATGTTATTTCATTTTCCCATTTTGTTAGTTCTCTTCATTACTGCCTAAGGAACAGAAAAGCTAGATGGCTGACAAATAACTATCAAAACATGGGTTCACTAACACTGCCATCCTAAGCAGAATTACACCCTTCTAAGTTTATTGAAGTCAATGGGATTAAAAGGGCATAACTATGCTTAAAATGACACTGTTAGTCACCAGTTTAACTACATATCTAATAGAAACCAAATGACACAAATATTGCCAGAGGAACAAGGTATATCTGTAAACAGCACCAACACTGGAGCATCTGTCTACAAGGTCTTGGTGGGAAAAAAATTCTTCCCAACTTCTGAAGAGTGGTGCAAGGCCACAGGGTGAAAGAAAAAGGTGGGAACAGGGATACCCAATCATTTTATAACCCAGCACATATTATGTAGTGGTTATGCCACGCTCTGCCACACTACTGAAGAACTTCCTTAAAAATGTAGAAAACATGGTCTCAGGCAGGTGATGGCAACAGATTGCAATCACATTGTGCTGTGCTACAGAAAAGAAGTCTGCTAAGTGTACAAGACATTGTTCAATCTCTGGATTCTGAAATTAGACAGAAATAAAACCACAAAGCCAGGTGTCCATTAAATTCAATAACAAGCAAAACTGCCCCCTCCCGCCCAAAAGCATCTAGGCATGCCCTCTTCCCAGTGCTCCCCAAGGCAGTGAGCACAAAGCAGCCACAGCTGCCCTTCTTCCCCAAACATGTACAGTTCTAACTCTAAATTGCTACCATTAAAATACTGATGATGATGCTGGTTCCTCATATCTTGTTCCTCTTGCAGGAGCTAAGTGACAAAGACTGTCAAGTCAAGATCCCATTACTGTTAATCAGGGGCATATGCCGTAAACCATTACCCTTTAAAGTTGTACTCTGGGGTAACGGCAAATTTATCAGAATCAAAGAGACATGAATTTATAGCAGCCCTCAATTATCTGGTGTTGGTAAAAACCTTTGTGTTATTTTATAATACAGTTCTACAAGCATATACACACCACTTGTTTTTTTTACTTCACTGTTCAAAAGTTTAATTCGAATTGTTTCCTTCAAGTTAGCTACAAGTTATCATATACAAACATTTTACTTCCATAGAATGTAATTTCAAAAACCCAGATTTAACAACTGTGAAAAGCTGAGACATTCTTTGCTTAAAATACTGTGAACATCATCAGTCTTGGCTCTGCACTTATGCTCTCATCAGACAATACTTAATGCTCATGGGGGGGTGCGGGAACGTACTAGAACTTAATACCAGTACAGAAACTCAAACAAGGCAAACACAGCCAGATGCTTATAGCACAAATCACAGTGAGGCATCCTAATATGTGTAGCTGCATATTAAATGTATAAATTTAACCTTCAATTGAAGGATTACCAGCAGCTTGCTTCAAACTGTTCAAAATATTAATGTACTTATTAGGACTGCTGATTCACCTAAACAGTAATTAATTGACTACAAAAAGCCACTAATTATACCAGCCATCAGAGGGACTCCAGAGGCAAAGTGACTCAGCTGATCAGTACCCAAATTAAATCAGACTACCAGTACCCGAGGGATGTTAACAGTGTGATCCTGTGCAGTGTTACTTCAGTCTAAACTCATGGATTTCAATTTGCTTAGACTGAAGTAAGTCAGCACAGGACTGCAATGTATCATCTCTAAGATTTCCTCATTAGTGTGTTGTTAATAAATTTGGGATTCATTTACACATGCATACAATTTTTAGTTTGCTCAGTTCAATTTCTAAATATTGTTTTCATACCTTAGAGACATTACTAACATAATCCAGTTGTGAAGTACTCTCTTTATCAACCTGATTGCAAAGATTCTGTAAAGTGGAAGCATATTCCTTGTCACTTTTTATTCTCGTGGCCATAAATTTCTTCACCATTTCCAGTAGCCGCAACTCCCAATCTTGCAGTTTTAGCAAAGCTTCATGAGAATACTTCAGGTCACTTCCAAACCCCATATTTATAAGGCACTAGATATACCAAGGGCTACAAATGAGGGATCCTTCTGGTCAGCACATCTGTAGGAAGAACAAAACTAATGAGAATTGTGTTGAATGGGGAATCTATAATGCTGTTTTCCAATGCAGCATTTCTTGGAACCCTGTGTATATTTAAAACAAGAAATAAACTCAACTACATTGCCAGGAAAAAAGGGGGAAGTCTTGGTTTCTAATTCTCAAAAGTCTTGTTGAAGGCAACCCACAGAAGAGCCCCCAGCCTGCCCCGTCAGCCAGCTCTTCAAACACATAGGTGGATTACCAATTGGAAAATTCACCCAGTGAAAAATCATATGCAAAACAGTTCTTACAGGTTAAAGTCTACCATTCCATTGAGCTAATGGCAACATATTCCACTGATGAAAGATCCGACACAGCAGAACCACCATTATACTCCAAGAGAAATGGTTTTGATGACAGAGTGACCAGTACCACACAACCATCAAAAGCCTATGGCCATGAGTAAGCAACAACCAATCATGATCTTAAGCCTGCAGGCCCAAGGTGTGGACAGCTCCCAGAAGGTGGAGAAGCCAAGACAGCTTGTAAAATTCAAAAGTGACATTGGTTGAGCTTTACAACACTATCCAGGATAATATTAAGAGATGTGTCTCACAAACATAGCAAGAGAAAGAAACAGGAAACGACACAAGGACTTCTTTCTTGTGATTGTTGGATCAATTACAAAATTGCAAAGAATTCAGAACTCCAGTCAAGGCAGTCAAGGATACTCGTTCCAATGATACCCACCACTGTTTAGGGATTTGATATTTATAGCGGAGTGTGCACGCACACACATTATTTTTAAAAAGACTCATGCACATCTACATGAGAACAAATGTAGTTCAGTTCACGTAGAAGAAAAAGAGATTGGATTTATATACCCCGCTCATCACTGCCCAAAGGAGTCTCAGAGAGGCTTACAATCTCCTTTCCCTTCCCCTCCCCACAACGGACACCCTGTGAGGTAGGTGGGGCTGAGAGAGCTCTGAGAGAAACTGCTCTCTCAAGGACAGCTCTGACAGAACTATGCCTTGCCCAAGGTCATCCAGCAGGTGTAAGTGGAGGAGTGGGGAATCAAACCAGGTTCTCCCAGATTAGACTCCATGCACTTAACCACTACACCAAGCTTATTACAGAAAGTGTAAGGTCAAGCAAGCCTCCAAAGGAAAAAATTATTTATAGGAAAACACAAACATTTGAACTTAAAATTAAATGTGACACAAGTTCTGGACACTCCAGTGCACATGTTTCTGGGAAAAGAACACCTCTATCTAGTTACAAACAACTGCTAATAAGCACCCTAGGTATGGCACAGCTGAATTAATGGCACAGTGAAGCCCTTGAACTAGGCTTTGCAACAAGAAAATAAAATTCTTCATACATACCTTTTAAAAAGGTTTAGTCTGACAAAGCTTTCTTCCTTTCAACAATGGTAATGTGGTTGCTAGTCAACTCTTCCAATTACTCTGTTCTCTCAATATCTTCTGAGTCTATACAAAACAAAAGTTGTATGACTTAGTTGGACAACCACACAAAAGAAAATGTCATGTATTGCCAGACTTCATCAAGAAGCCTTATAAAAGAAGCCTGCCCCTGTCTCAGCACCTTTTCCAGGGGTGAAATGCAAACTTTAAACACAGTTAATCAGTATGAACATAACAGTAACAATATAACACACCATGCCAATTCTGAATGGATAGTTTAGAATCCCAAATACAAGTCTCTCTTCAGTCTACAATATGGACTTGCAAAACTGAGTATGACTTCCTCATTGTGGTGCTTTTCATCCAAAAATAAAACTGCTCATCACACCTGTTCCCCCCCCCCCAATATAACCTGTCACAATTCATTCAAAATGAGGATGTAGATTCAAACTTAAAAAAACAAACAAACCTGAAGTGCTTTCAATGACTAATCTAGTTTCTTCATGAAAACTGTTGGTATATTAAAACAATGCACTCAGTATTACAAAGATCATATTCTGGTCACATAAATGCTACTGTGGGTATTTTTTACTTATTTGTAATTTGCATTACTTTTTTACTATGGATATGGGGACTTTAAAATACTTAGCCAAAATATTATTTTCAGGCTTAATGCAGTGTTTTGGAGATTAAGAAAGACAAAGAACCAATATGCAGCTTTGTGGAAGTGTCTTTCCAACACAATGAATGTGAAACAGGTCTTCTAGACCAACATACCATTGGGCATTTGAAGACCTTCAGGACATTGCACTGAGAACTTACATGTATATTGAGGAATCACTTGCCTTTTACCACTAGAAGAGAAATATGGAGTCTTAATTCAGAAAGATTCACAATCCTGTTATTTGAATGTACATTTTGGACATACGTTTACTCTTTTGCCTGCTACAAAAGTCAATACTACATTATGCCCTTTCATCTTAAACAATACCCAAGAACATAACTCATAGACCATGTAGTCCAGCAACTTGTTTTCCACTGCGGCCACCCAAGTGTCCTTAAAGGCCCACTGCAGCAGTATACTGCCTATGAACATGGAGATCAGTTCAGCTATCATGGCTAACAACCACCGATGGAGCTATCTTCCAAGACTTCAGTTCACCTTTAAAGCCACCTAATCTAGTCCACCTTTAAAGCCATCTAAACTAACAGCCAAACACTACATACTTCCATTTATGCCCTCCTGCCTTTCTCACTGAAACGCAAGGAGGATTACAAGGTAGACTTATGAAGAAATATGTTTTGCTACTGCTGAATTTATTGACCTTAATTTCATTAGTGCCATTGAGTTCTAACACTATGGAGGACCCAAGAAATCAGGAGACTGAGACTGGGAAGGGCAGCCATGAAGGAGCTAGATGAGATTCCTAAATGTCACTGGTGACCAAGATCAAGACAATTCATGCCATAATATCCCCCGTTACTATAAATGGGTGTGAAAGTTGGACAATGAAGAAACCCTAGAAGCTAAAATGAGGCTATCGTTCTTTGGTCACGTTATGAGAAAACAAGAGTCACTGGAAAAGGCAGTTGAAAGGCAGCAGGAAAAGAGGACAACCCGACAATAGCCCTCAGTTTGCAAGACCTGAGAATGGCTGCTAACAAGACGTTTTGGAGAATCTTAATTCATAGGGTCGCCGTAAGTTGGAAGTGACTTGACGGCACTTAATACACACACACACTTTGTTTACTTCTCTCCACCCTGCCCCCATCCCTCATCTTGGTGCCAAAACTAGCTCTCCTCTGCCAGTTAAATGAGCCCAAAAAAACAGGCCATCTACATTATAAAGCATGAGAGGCAGCAGAGAAGAGGCAGGATTCACATATCTTACCACACTCATTTGAAACTGCAGCAGCTTCAGACAGAAGCATCTTCAGAAAGAAACAAGTTGATTTCTTTGTTTGCCCCCAGGACCTCTCAATAAAGTACAAAGGATCCAGGTGCCTTAACAGCAGGCCTTAGGAAGAACAACTACACTAGCATTTCTACTTAAAGGCTTCTAGTCCAAAGTGACCCAATTTAGACTGCAGAATTTCCTGACACAAGTCCCAAATCAGCCTAAGTTTCTGTGGCAGAGTGGGGATCTGAATCGAGGCCTTCCAAATCCTAGTCTAGCACTCTAACCACTATACCACTCCCGCTTTCAACCTTCCTTTTCCTTGGGGCAAAACTCTGGCCACACCCCACTGGTTTCACTAGTATAGGCTCAGAAAAACATATCAAAGTCCCTTATGAAGAACCACATCCAGTCCATAGCTCAAATTAAGCCAGCAGCTGAGATGTGCGTGAATGGGTTGCTGTCCATGAGTTAAAGTCAGCTCATGAGTCAAACCAGCTTCAATAGTTCAGAATAAAGTTTACACACCAACAAGCATACACTGTCCACTTCTGGCACTTCAGTCGGATTCCATTTTTATTAAATAGTACTGGTCTGCAATATTTTTGTTCTTTCTAAAAAACAAACCATTGAAGTTATTTACTATGGCATCACAGATTTAAGTGATAGTCTCCAGTAACTGCCAATTTGTCCCTCTCAGGGCTGCTGTGAGGATAAAATTGGGGGGGGGGGGAATCTACCTTGAGTCCTAGTGAGAAGGGTGGACAGACTATTAACAAACAAACAAAAGTGACAGTGGTATTTGGTTTAAGGCTGGGTTCCCCAACAAGGTGCCTGCGAGAGCCATGGTGCCTGCCATCACTTCACCTGGAGCTTTTTAGAGAGTGGGTGGATCCACTGTAAGGCATAGCTTGTTATTGGCTGCCCTCATTCAAGTGAAAGAGTTGTTCACTGCTACAATAGCAAACGCAGCCACTGGAAGATCAAGAGGGCTTTCCTTAGTGTCATTCCATCCTCCCTTCAGGCTTCCTTTCTTTTTATTCCCAAATTTCTTTCGCCCTCTCAGTTTTCTTTGGTTCTTTTTATTCCCCATGATCTTTCTCCCTTACCATGGCATACCTTTATTTCTTGTTATTCTGCCTCCTCTTTCTCCCTCTCCCCTTGGGCTTACCTTCTTTTCTTTTAATTCCCTTCTTCAATTCTTTTCCAAAGCAAGGAAGGAAGTACTGGCAGCTGCCCCCTCAGGCAACCATTTTGGGTTGGCACTCCCCCATCCCTCCCCTCAAACTTCTGAAGGTGCTCGCAGGCTCTAAAACATTGGAGACCCCTGGTTTAAAGTATAGGCATTACTTTTCGCTTAGTAAGGTAAATTATTTTCCATCTTTCAAAGCATGTCACATATTTTAGGGACAAATGAAGAATTTCCCCAGGTTTCCACAAAAATTACACTTGATTCATATATAGAATCATAGAGTTGGAAGGGGCCATACAGACCATCTAGTCCAGCCCCCTGCCCAATGCAGGACCAACCTAAAGCTGACAAATATTCGTCCAGCCTCTTCTTGAAAGCTGTCAGTGAAGGGGAGCTAACCACCTCCCTAGGCAGCTGATTCCACCTTTGAACCACTCTGACCATG